GACACATGCAGCAGGTAGCCCAGCACAACACAGTGAGCCCGTGTTAACTTCCCTGCCAGGCTACCAAGCTGTAAATCTTCCTCTACACTCCGCAACAGCTCTGTGTGTTGCAGCTCCTGTAAACAATAAGCCAGGTTGACTGCACGTAGGGACACAACAGCTCCCCCGCTGACCAAGAGGCCTTGTAAAAACCCTGCTGCCCATGCCTTCTGGTTGCCATCTTCTTTACCGAGGGCTAGAAGCCCAGCGAGAGGTTTCAGTGCCACTGAGGACAGCAGGCCTGTCAGGAAGCGCACAAACACATCCAAGTGACCATCTTCAGCCTGTTGTGAATGCTGAAAGGCACTTCTAAAGTGGTTCTGGAAACCGATCTTGGGCCAAGACATTGTGCTTTCTGAGAATAAGTCAAAGATGGCCCGCTTAGAGGAGACATGGTAGTAAATAGCTGCAATAAACTCCTGCAGAGTCAAATGAGTGAACCGGTATGTTGTGTATATGGGCGACTCCTCCCGAACAAGAACTCCAGCACCAAGACTGCACTGAGTTAACAGTAGATCTATCCCATAGGCCCTGAGGTCCTGCTCACTGAAGGTGTACTTGTGTTTGAGGAGCCCATAAAATGCCAGTCGTCCAAGATTTCCCAGCAGTTTACGATTGCTCCCATGGAGCTGCTCCATTTTTACAGGCTCCCTGCCTCTTGGTTCACCTACTTCTGCCTTCATGGAACAAAAGTGAGCATACAGCTCAGTACAAGTCCTTGGAAGGCTCTCTTGTGTACCACTCTGCATTATGTACATCAGAGTATCAGCTACTATCCAGCAAATGCATGGTATGTAGCACATCACCATAAAGATCTTATTGGATTCCAAGTGTGCCCATATTTTACTGGCAAAATCCCTCTCAGAGAAATGATGGCTTAGGAAGAGCTGGATGTCCTTCGGGCTGAATCCTGGGATCTCAGTCACCCTGTCAACCAATCCTCCAGGGATGAGTGAGGCCACTCCTGGCCTGGACGTCAGCCACACTGCTATGTCAGGGAGCAGATTCCCCCGAATGATGTTAGTAACAAGGTCATCAATGGGCACTTCTTTCTTTGGGTCGCTGCAAGGAGCTGCATCAGAGAAATTTAAAGAGCAGCGGAATTCATCCAAACCATCAAGTATGAGCAGTGTGCGGCAGGAGCTGCTGAGGACCAGACTGGGATCCGTTAAATGAGGAAAAGCAATTTTCACCAGCCTCTCCGCAGAAAGCTTCTCCAATGAGTTTAGCTCGCAAAAAGTGAAAGGCAAGACGAAGCTCACATCTGTGCAGATGGCCCCCTGGCTCCACTGTCTGATGAAGTGTCGGACCCAGGTTGTCTTGCCGATACCAGCCACCCCGACCGTGAGTGAGACCCTGGGAGGCAAACTGACCCGGGTCAGGGGCTCCCAGAGTTTGGCCAGCCCCAGCTGTCTGAGATGATTTCTTTTCCTTCCTCGAGTCACCCCCACCTGCATTAAGTCGTGTTCTTTTTGCTGGAGGTCGGAAAGTCCATCGACCAGAAGTAAGGTTCTTGAGGAGATGTTCAGCTTGGGGCAGCTGACTGAATCTCTGTCTCTGTACTGCTCATATCGCTGTAACAGCACCTCTTTGTGCTCCTTCACCATGGAATCTGCAGAAAATTAAATTGGCTCAGGTTATTGTAAACAATACAAATACATCAGATTTCAAACAGGAAATGGATTGAATTTATATAGCACTTTTATCCCAAGAGTGGCGCAAAGTGTTTTTCAATGCATTACATTTACACACACACATTCATCCACAGCACGCAGAAGCTCATCTGGAGCAGTTTAGGGCCCAATATCTTGGTCAATGAAACTTTAACGTGCCGTTAGAGGATCCAGGAATCAAATCACCATCCATCATATCACTAGATGATTTGCTGAGCTATGAGAAGCTTGAACTATTTTGATAAGAGCAATTTCTCTTCTAAAACATTGACCAACTCACAGAGAAAATCCCATTTCATACCCCTTACCGTAGTTTATGATGAGCTGGGCCACATGAGAATCTGAGCTCTCTATGAAGCCCCGGAGGGCATCAGAGCCTTGAGTATCCTTGCCAGAGACAAAGGTTGTGAGCATGTTAACTTGGTCTTGCAGCTGGCCTGCTTCCTTGATCTTGGTCTCCTCAGCTGAAGTCAGCACTTCCACCTTTCTCAGGTGGGTGAACATCCCCTCCAGGAAGGAGCTCGTACTGAAGCGTTTCAGCTGGTCTCGATGCTTTTGGATCCAGCCAAGATCTAAACCAAAACAGAGCAGAAAACTCTCAGCACTCAAGTGATAACTAACAAAGACAATTTCCTGAGCTACAACAACCCTTTTTGATGTACAGTAGGAAAACAAGAGCAGGGGTTCACCCCTTTCTTTTTGTCTTTTTGCCAGAGAAAAATCATTTGTCAATCACTGAAAACTACAGTGTATATATACCACTGGCAACTTTTTAAGAGTCAGATGCTGGTCATTCTTATTATGTGCACCAGAGGACAATCATTTTTGCACAATAATGTATTCTGTTATAGCCTGAGGGTTCGTGATGCTTCTCACTGTTTCACATAACTATAAATATTCATAGGCAATTTTCTATCCGTTGTCGTTTTTTTAAACGTGTACTTTCCCTTTTCTTATGTTGTGTAAATAAGTTATACAACACACAACTAATAAGTCGGTTCTGCTTTTTCATTTCACTTTTCCTTCCCTTATCTTTATTATTTGTCATGGTGGTCAGTCCACCCTCTTCATTTCATAGCTTGTTCTGTAAAACTTATGTTTGTTGATCATCCCCTCTATAAACACACACAAACACACCGTTCCTGATCGTATTCCATCCCCGCTTTCTTTTTAACCAGGTTGTGTCTCTGTTGGTTGATCAGTCGGTCCACCTCTTTGGTCCAGACTGAAATCTCAACAACTACTGGATGCATTATAATTAAAATTTCTATCACGTTCGTGGTAAGATGATGAACATGGAAAACATTACAACTGCTGAACATCAGTGTCTAGGAATTGTTATTGTGAGCATGTTAGTTGACATTAGCCTTTAGCCTGCAAACATTCATAACCATAGGCTAGGCATTGTTATAATCTAGACTCTGTGCAATAGATATCAATTTTGTTTTATAGAATAATATGTTGGTTGTTGTTTTGTGAATAATAATCATATTTGTAGGCACGTTTTTTTGGTTGGATATAATTAATTGCATTTGTATGTCCATATATTAATCCATATTTTATCCAGGAAAGAGGTATAAAGTAATTCAAGAAGAATGTCAAATACTTAACATACTGCACAATAGCCATTTCAACTTATGAACTCAAACAAGGAGAGCTCAGGATTTCCCAAAGTCTTTTTTCCAATATCTAAAAACTAATTTAATCAGTGGTAGAGACCTTAATTAAACACCCTTGCACATTATTGACGAACCATCGATTCCAGCTTGCTTTAAGCCAGTGATCATATATTGGCGGCCCGCGGGCCAAATGCGGCCCGCCGAAGTTTCCCATCCGGCCCACAGAATGGCCACTGATGAAAGTATTAATCTATAGTACTAGAAAGTGTGCATCTGTAGCGAAATTCCGGGTAAAATGCTCTATTAAGTTACTGATAACACAAACTCAATATTTCCTACTGCTACAGAGAAAGCATTTAGGATAACTGGCGAAACAGAAGTTGACTTTTATTTTGAAGTAGTCACAGGAAATGTAATGTTTTTGTGAGTGAGATCAGCACTGACCGCTATCGTTCATCAAAAATCCGTCTAAACACAAGACAACGGTCATTTTTGACATTTTATGACTGCGGACCAGTTTGAAATATTGCAATGATATAACAGTCAGGAGCAGACACAGTGAGCTGTTTGATGAAGAGATGCATGCGACAGGCTGCACACTTCTCAACCACGTAACGTTAATCAACTCCTTTCACTTTGGGACTCATGTCTTGTGCAGCATAAAGTCAGATCATGACTGCTCACATAATCATGGAAGAAGACCACAATAATGTCGCAAATAAATAATTGCAGACTGTATAAAAACGGTTGATTATTTCATGCCAATCAGAACTCCATCCTACAGTTACATTTACAGATTTCAACAATCACCCCTCAGTGAAGAGCCTCCTTGGCGAAAGTCTGAGAGCATTTTCTAATTAAGTAGGCTATTTGTCATTATATATTTACCATATTTTTAGGAGTCTGTTCACTGTAATGTAGGCTAATAAGAAACATTTATTTTGTGAAATTAAACACTAGTTTGCTAATTAAGCCTACATAAAAAATTGTTTTAAAAGTCCGCCACTTGTAGACTCTGCTTAGAGAAATTCTGGCCCTCAGCAAGAGTTGTTGGGGGGGTCCTGCTTTAAGCCCTCTTGTAGCAATTACTATGATCAGCAGTGCTTGTGAAGCTTATGGTGACTGTATTACATAAACAAGAAAGTTTCTATCGCTCTCCCCAGCCTTTTAAAACTTTACTAAGCAGTACAAATTTACTCATTACAAATTCAGACCATGCTGTCTACTAGGTGTCTATCCAAAAACACTCAGCTGACATTTAAACAGATAAGAACTTCTTTGGATAACTATGACCTGGATGACTGAGAACCCTCACAGACGCCCTTGACCCTTCTTTGGACATCAGAAGTAAGAGGTGTTCTGCAAAATTGTGAGAGAATAGAAAACTTTCTGGACATAAATGATTCTCTAGACTGTTTATCTACCTACTTCACTTTTAAGCCATCTAAAATCAAATAGATTCAGATTCTTATACTTGAAGCTAACCTGATTAATTTGAATCTGCCAGGAACATTTGTTTTGTCTAAAGTGACATCAATATCCCTAAAATCTCCAGCAAAGAAAGACTCTCAGAGGATAGCATTTGCTACCCTCTCTGAGTAAATTAGGAAAAAGCACTCCTTGGCATGCAAACAAATTTCCAAATAAGTGTAAAATAACCTTACAAGCAGTCTGAAGGTTCTCAGTCATCCAGGTCAAAGTTGTCCATGGCATGTTAAAAAGACATCTGGACCTTACAAGCCTTTTTGGCCTTTTCTGGTTTCTAATTCTTGATAACAAGCAAAGATATTTCTAACAGCATTAAGTTAGTTTCTCCCACAGGAAACTGGAAAGTGGTAAGCAGTATGTCATAGTTTGTGACTAATAGTAACTAGGTAACAGTCAACTGTCAGCTAAACAATAGCTTAACTCATTAGATGTAGGCTATGTCTAACGGCGATGTAGTAGCTGTGACTGCCATTTTTACTCAACATTTAATTTGGTGCATACATCACCTTTTAGTGGACCACCACAGGAAACTTACCACTGCCCAAATTTAATTCTCTGATCAAAAAGTCTAAAAAAGTTACACAGCCACATCAACATGAAAGAAATCTAACAAAGTCTAACAATTAATAATAAAACACGTTCCAACCAATTTGGTCTTCAAAAAGGTTTGACATCAGTCTCCTGTTTACCTGTAATTTCAATATATTAACTACCCCTGCTGTTTTTGTCATATTACTTGACTGAGCAAGCTGGTCCTTTATTTGGCCCACAAGTCCTCTGCTGTAAAGGCTTCAGACAGTTTTCACCCATTGCCTACAAATCCCCACCAGACTCAATGTCACCAAGCATTGCCACAAATGATAGGAGAAAAGCCTTGAACTGGAAAGAGAAAAAAACCTGACTTTCTTCTAACCACTGGTCTCTCTACCTTATTATATGTGTAAACTGGTTAAATCCTTCTTTGGTTGCAATAACCTTTTTTTCACAAGATCTTGAAGACTTTAATTACAAAACCTAATTCACAATTAATTAATCACAGCTCCTGTTTCTCTACTGATAAGCCTCTAATCTCACCTCCGTATCTTGACATTCATAAGAACAGCAGCATGTGAATATGAGTGAATATGATGTGGGCGACATGGACGATAATGACAAAGAAAGTGAAGATTGGTCAGAACTGAAGATTGATGTTCAGTATAACAGAACTGGAGATCATCTGTTTTTTCCATTGTTTTGTTTTTTGCACTGGCCAATAGGTATGGTCCTACACGCTTGTTTCCTCTAAATAATAATAAATAAAAAATAAAAGAAAGGGTTTAATGGGTGGAAGGGTTTTGGGAAACACAGGAAAGCTGACTGAGACACTCCAAAGCCTATGGTGCATGAGACACATGATGAATCTGTTATAGAAACTCTCACCCTCTGTTTCTGCTTGTGAAGAGTTGGAGCAGGACGTAGACTGGAGATCCACGTAGCAGTCGTCCTGCCACACAATGCGTTTGCTTCGATCCAGAAGAGAATCGTAATGTGCCTTCATCTCCATGAGAGAGCTTGATAATTTTGGCCCTCAGATGCTCCTTTTTGAGTCTAAATTATACAAAACAGCATTACTGATACAATGTGCGACTATCATAAACTGGGCATGACCAGCTGTGATGAAGGTAGGTGAAGAAATTAACTGAGGACACATTATCTTCTGGCCATCAGATTAAGGAAGACATCACTTTGAAAGTTCTCTCATTAACTTCATTCATGTTAAATTAAATTAACATGAATTACCTCAGGCCACCCACCTTGATGTTTTGGAGGAAATGACTAGAGAATGACTTGAGAAACTGGTTTTGTTCATTTTCTTTGGCTCTGATTTTATTTTTGAAAAATGTTAACCTGGTTTCCTTGCCTTTTCCCCCCACACCTTTTGGGTGACCATGACAATGCAGGGACTTTAAGGTGTGTCTCATTGTTTCACAGCTTTAATTAAAATTACATTAATTACCTCTACACACTTAACACTCTCAGATGCTGTTCCTGAAGCACATAGTGAGGCAGTAATTACTTCACACCCACAGACTCTGCACCAGATGGTGCACTTCTTTTTAGCTTTTAAAAGAAAAACCCACATCCTACTTGATTCTAACTACGATCTACATATCTTTCACATTTACCTTCTGCAAAGAACACTGTAAGGCATCTATATGCATGAAATGTGCTATATATAAGGCTTATTGTTTGTATGATTCCATATCATAGCATATTACTAAAACTGCAGTGAAAGTACTGCAAACATACATTTAAATTATGTTTCACTGAGACAAACGGGAAATGGAAATACCTTCCTGTGTGGTTTATTGATGATCACGTAATTTCTGACAAAGGAAGCCTATTCAAAAACCCAGACCTCAGATGTACTCGCGACAGCTTGCCAGCTTCCGCTGATAAGTTTAGACCGTCTTAATGGCCAAAACCCACTTACTAACACACCAACAGTAGTGAAGAAATGCGTCGGCGAGTGTCAAACAGAACAATTACACATTATCGTCATTAGCAACATCAAAAACACAAGTAGCTGTGTGTGTGTGTGAGTGTGTGTGAGTGTGTGAGATGCAAGCATGCCAGCAATACGCTGTGTAAAGAAAATAAAACACAGACATATCCGTTGTAAATTAAATAAAACATAATTATAGGATGCCATGTCAGAAATGGATTGTAGCATATGGCAAAGTGAGTGAGTCTGTTGAAGATCTTTATTTTATTCTATTTTCATTGGCCTGGAGCAGATATAAACACATGGCCATGATGGAAAGTTAAAGTTTATGGCTGGAGTCAGTTTTAGAAACCTTTTGTAGCAGTCAAGATGAAACATTTAACGTACAGTGTCTAGTAAACAAAACTGAGGTAACTCACCATGGGCTTGTTGAAGTTGTATGTAGGTGTCAACGGATGTGAAATGCTTTCGAAAAATATTTTTCGTTTGTTAATGCCATAATTCTCACGACAGCAGGAGTAGAACAATTTCAAGTGTGAATTTGAAAGAATCGCTGAGGAGTGACTCTACTTGAGGACTAGCCTGCAAATGAAACGAGCAACAAACATACAACTTCTTCCCCAGTCAGAACTGCTGCTGGAGACACTGTTTCATGCTGCAGCGCCTTCCTGTCTGTCTAATCTGCCTTCCTGTTGCGGTTAGCAGGTTGAACAGTGAAAAGAGAGAAGAAAAAAAAACCTTGCATTGCCCTTGTACTCACAAAGTGACACTGAAGCGTGGTTAAATTTTAAGGCCTTGGACAACCTCTAGCTACTCAACTATGCAATCGGTGCTGAACCACAAATGAGAGCTGAGACGAGAAATAGTACATGATTTCTGGTGTAAAGGCTTGCAACAGGCTGAAGAACAACTGTGAAACAAAACTGCACATCTGGAAATATTTTATTTCAAACCTGCTACATCTGCATGACATTGGAAGGAAAACAGAAAATAAGCTGAAAGGCAAACACTGGAAAGAAAGCTTTTAAATTATGACCTGGGGTTGCAAATGATACACTGTTTTCTTTCTAATGTTGTGGCATCTACTGCTGTAGACTATGGCAATTCATTGTACGTACACAGCCTTGAAGTGCTCGGTGAAAACGTGTAGGTTTCTAGCTTCTCTCACAGTTGTGTTAGATTTGAATGCTGCTGTTCCTGATCGATGAAAATGCAACTGAGGTTAGAAAAACAGCCATGTTAATAATTTTCCACTTCTTGTAATTGCAGTCAGTGTGCCATTTATATGTATATATAAATACACTTTACATATAGTGATGAATGTGATTCTCATGTTAAACAAGTGCTCTGAACAGAAGTGTTACATTAAATTGTGTTATGCTGTTTTTCAGCACTGTGTGGCTTCTTCAGGACAAACATATCTCAAATTTTATTCAAGAGTACACATTTGCATGTGAATATATTATTTGGGGTGTAAAACAGAGCTGCAACTGCAAACTTCCTACATGTACCATTTTATACAAAACCTAAAAATATAGATGTTTATAATAAAAAAAACATTTTATGAACTTTACATAACATCATTTCAAGGAGAAAACATCAAATTTGATCACTTTGAAAGCTAAAAAAGGCTTTCATTTACATGATTTTGTTGGTTTTCCATCCAGTTTATCTTTTTTTCTTTTTAATTAGTTGAACATGCTGTAAAACAAATCAGATTTTATGGGCTTAATTTTGCTTGACAGATGGGTATAATGTCAGTATTGAGAAATTAAAACTGAGGAAAATGGTACAGAGGAGGGAAATCTCCTCAACAAGATAATTAAAGCAAACAAGCTATAATTCTGTGCACCACAGTAGATGAATAAGGCGACATTATAAAGTAAGGGTCAATCAACTACATTAAAATGGAGCCTATCCAAGCTTATACGTTTATTTCATGGCACTTTGTGCTGGAAATTCTATGATTATTTCCAGATTAACTGTATCTATAAACTAAAAAAGTGGAATCAAATTAACTTAACCTATCTGAATATTTCACTTTTGCTCTGAACCCATCTAGTTTCTGTATTTCTACAATAAGTTATCATTTCAGATTGGCGATAACTGCCCCCCCACCCCCCCTGAGAATACTATCATATCCATAATATTTACACTTATGGCTGCAGCAGACATGGCTGTACATTCCCTCTAATAAATGAGGAATCAGGTGATCAAATAACATACAAGAACAAGGCACAGTAGAGGTTTCTGAGCCACTCAAAAAAACAAACAAAACAAACACAAGTGAAACATGACATAGCTCTGATTTTCTTAATCCCAAGCAAACTCTCATTTCTAAAAACAAATTCATTCAAGAGATTACTTCAACATCAGTCGCTCACGTCCCCTTTTCTAACTTTCAATCAAGAAAATGTAAACAGTTTGCTTTAAGTAAGCATACAAAAGTGGTTACAGACATTCATCACATGTTAGCTAAAGACGTTCACATTTAAAACACAATCAAGCCCTTTGAGTGACTAGAGTCTAAAATGACTATTACAGCATGTAGCAGGAAAATAAAGCAGGACGTAGAGCATTTTGAAGTGTGAGAGTAACAAATATTATCTTGGTTATAAAGTCTGTTGTTAAAACACTGTAGTGCCAGCTGAGGATGTCATGAAGCTTCCTGCATAAATCACATGTTTAAATTTAAAAGGCTTTTTCCACAGTAGCAAGTCAACAAAAATGACTATTTAGGAATCAAGTACTTTAAAATAAATCTTCCCTTTTATCTTCCTTTTCCTTTAAAAGTAGCAACAGCACTGGCTATACACTGATCTTTACAAAAATATGTTACTATCTTTATGTTTTTAAATGCAACTCATGGGCTGCCTGATTTGATGTCTTAAGTGTCACCCATGCCATGAAATTCTACCTGTCACACACAAAATCAGTTACGTACAGGTCAAATTAACCTACGATTCCCCCCCCCCCGTCTCTCGCTCTCTCTGCTGAAGTCCTCCCACGCACACGAGCACTTCCAGATGCAAACACAGTGATTCAAAGCCTTGATTATAGATCTGAAAGTCCCTCTGCATGTTCACTCAGCTCCATGGTGTAATAGTCCAGAGGACGCCTGAGAATACAGAGAACATTAACATAAACAATTAAGCCTTAATGCCGCCAGAATCTACACACTGAAATTACACTACAGTTTCCAGTCACTCACATTCAGAGGATTCCAGGATTACGTTTTATAATTTACCTTTGACTGTTTACTACCACTACTTCACTCTGTGATTTGTTGCATTACCCGGAATGACTTTCAACAACTTCCAGAGCACTGTCGTGAACTTTCTGAATTTATTTCACACACACACACACACACACACACACACACACACACACACACACACACACACACACACACACACACACACACACACAGGTGAAGAGAGTGATAGGGATTAGCTTTAAGGAGCAGGTTTTACAAGCCATGAAAAAGTTGAGTCAGTGGAGGAATCTCTAAACTACTAGGCTACTTCTTCCCTCTATGACAGACAATGACTGTTGTACGTTAGTGCAGAATGTTAAGACACGAAGGGCTTGCTATTCTACAGACACTTGACATTTACTGCTGACATTTCACACTTTTGGATTGTGGATTTTCACTTAATAATTTTTAATGCATGTATCCAAATGTCACAGTGCACAAGGCAACTGGACAGAGCTAGGATCTACCCTAAAGCCTCAGAACCTCAGTGTTTTATTTTTACTTTTGGATTATTTTTTTACTTACTTTGTGGTCATTTGATTAATTGCAAATATCCATACAAACACCAACAAAAGACCAACAAAGCTGGGGTGACAGAGTTTTCACCATTGCAGCCCCCTCCCTCTGGAACTCCTTACCCATCTGAAAATGTAGCAACCTGGACTCTTTCAAATCACTCTTTAGACCAGCTTTTAACGTCAAATAATGTTCCACTTAACCTGCTGCCAACTGTTATTTATATGGTCTGTATATGGTATGGCTTTTATGTATTTTGTATTTCATGTTTCTTACCTATTGTTTATGTATTCTATCTATTTTTAAATATACATAAGTACAGGTTTTACTGTAAAGTGTCTTTGAGTGTCCTGAAAAGCACTATAGAAATAAAATGTATTATTCTTATTATTATCTAGACACACTCTCTTGTCGAGGGGCCCTAGTTTTAACACCTCTCAAGAGTCATAGAACGATTAAGAATTGCACTTTCATAAGCTGGGCACATTTCTCATTATTTTGTATACTTTGCATTTATTTATGTTCTTAAGACAGCAGTTCTACTATTTTATACTGTATTGACACTGTAACATTTCATTATATTAGATTTTCACAGATATTTATTCACAGTACACACATCTAATCTAGTACGTAGGTCATTTTGACTCTTCTAATCAACAGTTGAAAGTATCTTCAGCGACAGCTCTAATGTAATCTGTCATGGTTGTAGTTCATGTTCTTTCAATAATGCAGAAAAACACCTCCGCAGACTGCTGCTTTTTCATTTCCTTTTCTAAGAATTTAGACTTGTGCAACCCCAAAAGAAAAGGGCTCAAAATTGAGTGTGACTTCTCTTTATATTTACACAAAGCATTTTCTAAAAAACATTATTACTGTGGGTCAGGGAGGATTAAAGGCAACGAGCAACAAAAGAACACATCTTCGGTGCGAGACTCCCAACAATGCAGCTAAATGGGCACTGCTGATTGTTGATTACACACATTTGTTTTAAAATATGCTATTCACAACACTCAGTCACTGTGTAATTAACGCAAGCATTACAAGTCAAAGGGTTAAACATATGTTATCCTTATTATGTAAGTAATCTGGCTCTGTGAAGATTTCCAGCAAACCAGTGTCAGTGTGCACATCCAGCAGAGAAGACAGGGTTAGAATAAGACTCCTCACCTCCTCCTGTAGAAATATGTGAACAGAGCAGCTCCCAGTCCCAGCAGCAGCAGCACTGCTACTATCAGCCCTATCTGTAACCCCAGGGCAGACGCTAGGAGAGAGTCAAATAATTCAGAAAAGTCAATTCAAAAGTCAGTAACTCTTTCTGAACATGTTAAATATGTTTCAACACAGCATGGCAATTCAACATCCTGATGAAACTTCTTCCTTTAGATTCTATAAGCATATGCAAGGCTTAATGCACAGAAAGCCAGTTGTCTTTGCAAAATGGACCTAACAATATGCCGTCTATGCCACAGATAATTTCAGCTGTGAATCCCTCATGTTATAGGTTAGTAATTTGAATCCTGAACAGGAATGGCTACGATACAAACTATGAAAACTACTACATTAATATATTTAATGGCTGTTGCTGAAAAAAAATCCACCCATCCACCCATAAATAGGATCATTACTTTAACTGCTTCATTGTCCTTCTCACACTCCATGTAACACGGCTAGAGTGCAACAGTCTATATAACAGCAGGGGTTTGTAAAAGGAAGGCTTAGATGATGTTTACTTAATTTTCTTTTTACCCCATTCTGCATTTTCATGTCACTGCTTACATGAACCATAGCTTGTGTAAGAAGGAAGAATGTCTCTGATCCAAGAGTGCTTTACATTTATGGTAATTATAGCTAATTTATCAAGAGCTACAAGCTCTCAGACGGCTCACTATTCTTTAATGCTTCAATGTCATGATTAACATGACATGGCACTTAGACCTGTATTTGTTACATGGAAAGTCCTGTTTTTAAAAGTTGTATTATTATCATCTGCAGATTGTCATTCTACATGTTATTATGAAATATCTTAGGTTCTATGGCTCGGAGTAAGACACACAAGAATATATCTTCTAACTTTTGCAAACACACTGTAAAGGCTGCACCGCCTCTGGATAAGATCCTAATAATCCTAATGATGATAATGTGCCACTCTGCCTGCTCTGGCAGATCTTATTACATTCAATCCCAGATTTTACCACCAGGACAACATGTCTAGACATGCATGGTGGCTCAGTGGTGAGCTTGTGCAGGGCCTTTCTGTCATGCTAACCTTTGCTTGTATAACGGTCCGTGGATGGCGCAGAGCAGACGTCTCCCTGAGCCGATGAAGGATTCATGTGTAATGTCTGGATGATGAGGGCCTTCTGATGGTCCGACAGCGCGTGCATGTTCCCCCACACTCGTAGCCACCCAGACGCACAGGAAAAGTTAGCTCCTTGAACACAAGCAGATCGACAAATGTTTCATTAGCTTCATATGAAAGGAGTTCAGGACGCGCTTTAGCTTGTTATTACACTGGTGGCACACTGCTTGCCAAATGAAGAGAAGGTGTTCTTAAACCACTGCACTCAAATTCAAATGCACTCACTAAAATTAAACCCAGACTCAGCTGTTAAGTGGGCTCCAACAACATAAACACATATCCATACTTTATAACACCATGGTAACTGCGACCTACACCACTGTGTTCATTGCTGACTGGAGTCTTGTCAATCTTGTCAAGTTCTCTCCCAACAAATGGCTTCAGTGGTCTTTTTTATTAGCATCCTTTTGACAAACACGTGATTTTTCAAACCTCAGGGACGGGCCAGTCATTTTTTACATTACAAATCAGTCAAATGTGACAAATTTACACTGAATAAAAGTGCCTCACCTTGGAGATACAAGGCAGAGATGCCACAGTGACACTTCTGCTCCAGGTAGTCTGCCACCTCAGCCACCCTCCTACCCTGGATTAGACCACTGCAGTCTGGGACAAACAGAGAAGAGGCTGTCAGCTTCTATGAAGGTCTGTTTACGGTGTTATAACCACGAGACAGACTTAGAGAGTCAATTCAGACATAAAAAGAAAGTAATTTCTACATTAAGGTTTTATCTTCATTGCTTTAATTTTATTTTGTCCCTCTAAAGACGGTGGGTGTATGCAATGTTTGTATGCACTGTACATTTATACATTTATAATGGCACCACTTTGTTTAGAATATGTGTCTGACATCAATTATGTGATGAATTTGGCCCATTCATCTCAGTGTCCCAGATTCGGCTCAGTAGGGTGAGGGTACCTTTCTGCATTGCTATCTGCCACAAAATATGACACTATCTGTCCTTAGATCATATTTTATTCAGTTTCAAGTTTTAGGTTTGTTAAATAAATGGCTGTTAAGCGAATGAGATAACACAATGTTGATTGAGCTTATGGCCCACTGTCGAAAGTAATGCAACATTTTTATATTTGCAGTATTACGAACTAGGTGTCTGTCGCGACATTTCCCAAAAAAATGCTGTATTAAGTTACTGCTTATGCAAACCAAACATTTCCTACTGCTGCAGCTTTACATTAACAGCAAAACACAAGTTGACTTTTATAACATGTGTAGTAAATGATAGTTTGTCAGTGAGCACTATAGTTGAATGCTGTAATTTTCAGCATTTTTTGTCAGTGAAAGTTTAATATACTGCAGACAGTAATGAAAAAAGAAGCAGCAGCTACAGAGATGTTAGATGAAAAGCAGTAGGCGAGAGGCTGCACACATCCAGCTTCTCAGCAAGGTAACCAACTCCTTTCATTGTGCCCTGCTGTTCCCAGACTCATGCCGTGTGAAGCATAAAATCAGATCACTGCTGCTCACAGAATGACAGAAAAAGGCCAATTATTGACTTCTTTATTAAAACAACAAATAGTTTGTTTTGCTGACCCAGGATTCTGTGACCTGTAGTATTAAACCGCATTTGCTGTTTTCACCAAGCGAGTGTCGCCATATCAACCAAGACTTAAATCTTAAAGGGGTAGTTCGGATTGTGGGGGAAGTGTGGTGGTATTGGGGTACTAGATGACGTTCGGCATGCTCACAGTTTGGAGAAGCAGACAGGAGTCCCGGCATAGAAGTTTTACTACTGATACTAATCTTTAAGGATTACAACTTTTTGTAGTTATGATACCTCACCTCCTAACTTCTCCTGCCAGTCACTTGGCAGGGGACTGAGGCAAAGATCAATGTCACTTGAGAAGGAAGAGCTTGGACAGACGTTGGTGCTGCGAGGTGTGGGTGAGGAGCTAATCCAGGAGGCGGGGCTCCTCGCCTCACAGCATGAACACCGACTGAGCGAAACAGGGCCATCTTCCACAGACCTGCACATGCACGCAACAGTACATGTATGACACACATGAATAAACAGGATGATCAAGTCAAAAATAAGTTAAGGCAATAATGTATTTTGCAACATTTACATGGTTATGGTTACAGTAATGCTGTTCTAAAACAAGTTTACATGGATTTCTTCAAAACACAAAAATGGTTGTCACTCAACTGCATATTGCAATGTTTGCTTACTGCAGCTGAAGCTAAAGAGAAAAACTTGCTTGATTAATGTTGGAGTAGGTCGATCTCACCCAAATGGATGGAGCCTATAATTTTCTGGCAGCTAATTTTTAGTTTGTGGGTTAACATCTAATTGTCTTTTAAATGTTAACCTCATCATCTAATTTACTTTCTTTAATTTATAAAAAAGATTTTATAGACAAACTCGCCTCATGCTCTCTTGAATTGCAGCAATCGAATGTAAGTGCTGCTGGAAATAGGCTACACAGAACCAATAAGAAATCCAGGGTAACCCAGAGGAATTCGGTTAGGTAGCCCCAGCAGACTGTGGCTGATTGAACTGTTTACCTCCAATGTTTTCCACTCTGACAAGTTCTCTACTTTTTCCCTGACACTGCAGTATGTGGTACTGGCTGTGTGAATAGCACCTTTTTTTTCCTCCGAAGGTTTCTATGGTTTTATTTAATTCAAGTGTATTTAATTATTTATTATTATTAATTATTATTATACTGTTAATGGAGGCAGCAATTTCAGCGAACCTTTTTCAGTAGAAAAAGGTGTAAATAATAAAATTTAAGATGAATTCCATTTAGCAGCTTTAATTTCAGGGTCCACCTATTGCAGATGGCTCGCTATCATGGCTTCCTTGAATAGTATGGAGCCATGTTAATGCCACAATAGATTTTTGCCTCAAAATGCAAATGGGTAATCGATGGACGATCAGATTATTTTGTCACCCTACGCATGCCACACACCTCCGTGAAGCTAGGAGGCTCAGCTACCATTTTTATCGATCTGTTATCTCTGTACATGGCTGCACAAGTTGCCTTCAACATATCTCACCTCTCATCTCATCCCACCTCTGTTCAGCTGTGTAATTCATATCACTCAAATCACTAAACTCACAGCATTATTAGCCGATTAATAATACAACAACAAACGCAGCAATATACATTTACAGTTACAACCGCTCTCTTACTTTTCTTGTTCTCGCTGTTTTCAGTCAAAAAACAGCTGAATTATGTGTCAATAGAGACCTTCCGCCATCTTGGTGAGGTCAATGAGCTTTTAGGTTTCTTTTCTCTCCTCAAATTGAAGGAGAGAAGAAGAGTTCCTTTGTGGGAGACGGTCTTTATCGGCCTCTACTGGCCAACCCATAGGAGCTACAGAAAAAAGTTTCAGATCTTTCAGCTAGACATCTCTTCAATACGAAGAGAAAGAGCCCACTTACAGCCCTATAAAGCACGGGATTACTTTTGGTCACAGGAATATTGATCAATATCCACTGTTATCAGTATTTCAATGTTTTGGAAGCTTTATGTTATTTGGAACGTGGTTGTACGGAGAGAAAAAATGTTAATAAAAGTGAACATATAAACAGATATACAACAAATATTCACCTGGTATATTTTTGAAAAATTGTGTAATAACTGCTATATTAGTTTCTTTTCATCAAATATACAGTTACATTTGTATTCTAAGACTATTAGAAGATATTCAGTTGCATTATAATGAGTTGAATGATGGTTTTAATGGTGATATTGCTATTAAAATATAGCTTTTATACAAGGCAAGGATGAAAATATCATATTTTCCTTTATTGCATCTCCATTTACACTTAATAGAAAAATTAGGTTCATTTATATGGTTGAACCATATTCCTTAGCTTCTGACCTGTCAAATGAGACCAGAATTATGCATCTAGGCCTAATGGTTGAGGAGTTATTACTTATTTATTTTGGGTATGTTATATTAGGCGTTTTTCCTGGAAATAGGTGTCTGTTTCCAACCTGTGCTTTTCAAACTATGACAAGCCAAATTGTCTGCTGTGAAAAAGGCCTATTAACATGCAACATGTCAATAACTGGTCATTTCAGTTCATTGTGCAAGTTCAAACATGCTGTTGGTTTTTTTTCTGACGTTACCCTAGAGCTGGAATCACTTGACTCCCTCTGGTGGCTGACAAAGAGGAGAGCAGCTGCTGGTTTTCACTGAACACAAGTACATCTCTAAGACTGGAGTTGGTCAGAGCAGTGCCAGCTCTACAGACGCTGAACAGGTCATAGCACAGGACTACTGCTCCTCGTGCTGGCACCGTGGAGCCCTCCAGGAAAATCTGATCTATGCAGGAGAGAGAGGAGGTGAAGGAGTGATGGCGGGAACAGGTATAAAACAAGGAAGAGAAGAAAAAGACAGACAGAGGGTTTGGGGGGAATAGACTGTTAATGAGAATGAGAGGAAATCTTTGTTTCATTTCCAACAGGCGTCCATACCTAAACAACGAGGTCTCCAACTGCACTCACCTGCTGCAGTGACATTTCCAACCATGTAAAATCCATCGTGGTCAGTAGATCCGGTCAAAGGAAGGGCAATGACGGTCCCACTGTACTCCTGGTCAAACACAGTGAGCACCAGGCCCCGCAGGTCTGTCATGGGGGTCCCGTGCAGCTCCACAAAGGCCCTCTGCTGGCTGTGATTGGTCCAATGGCCACTAGCCACCTCACTGATGATTACATGCTCAGGGGCTGGAGGGGGGCGAGGGCAACTGTTCTCCCTCAGAGGGGTGGGTGGAGCCACCTGTAGTTGTTAATGCATTTCATACATTTACGATTTTAACGTCTGTGATATATCCAATACGGATCCATCTGGATTTATTTAAATATTAGTGCAATGAGAGAAAACTGCCCAAATATTAGTAGTTCAATATTTTTGGACATAATTTTTACACTTCGATATGTGCACAGATCAAACAAATGAGAGAAGATGTGTTAATTAGAGTGTTTTAGAGGTGCTGGCGTTTGGATAAAGCATGGCTATTGTTTCCTGTCTTTGTGTTAAGCTAAGCTAACCAGCTGCTGAACGTAGCTTTATATTTAGCGTACAGATGTTAGAGTGGAGGCAATATTCTCATCTACCTCTCTGACAAAAATGTGTGCAATTCCTTTAATTACTGTTATTTGGATTCATTATACATAAGCTTTTGTCTTCTTTGTTTTCCACAATGTTGTTTCTGCCATTTGTATTATCCTTTGAGCTAAACTGTTTTATTTCAGCATGCCCTGTGAAACCTTCGCCCTTTGTACTCACTGAAAAAGCAGACAGGTCATAGGGGTAAAGGCCTCTACAGCGGCTGAGGGCCTCATCACCAGGCAGAACCTCTGGATCCTCCAGCAGAGGTAGCTGTCCTGGGGTCAGAGCTTTACTTAGCTCCTGCGCCTCCTTATCTGATCCTCTCTGCCGATACACGACTGCGTCTAGCAGGCCTTTTGTGGGGATCCCCCTTTGTGCGGCTGATGGTGGGCCAAAAGGGCTGCGATAGAGTGCCACAGCATCTGGTCCGTTCTGAATGGTATTAGGGGGCAAGCGGAGTGATGGAGCTGGCACCAACCTGTCACTGCCCAGCAGAAAGTAGCCCTTAGACGTGGTGAAGTGTCCACTGAGGCTGATCTCCCTGTAGGGTCTGTTGTTGTGTGCACTGAACAGTAGTATCCAGATGCCCTGCAGGGAGACCCGGCGTCCCGATGGGTGCCAAAGCTCGATGTACTCGCCGTCCTCAGCTGCGCCAGGTGTATCAGTGTTGACCTCATTGATCAGGAAGTCACTGTTCCCCCAGGGTGGGAGGTGAGGCGGTGAATCTGTACCTCCTGGATTCACTAAAGCATAAAGGAAGGGATTAATTAGCTGCTGTTAAAGGAACAGTTTGACTTCACTTCACATTGGTTTTTGTATGGATTCAATATATAACGTGTTAAAGAGCTTTACAGATGCTGGTAGGCAGATTTTATTACCTCAGGACAGTACCAGGCCAGCCGCTTCCCCCCTTTGTGCTAAGCTAAGCTAACTAGCTGTTGGCTTCATATTTAACAGACAGATATGAATTCGGCAAGAAGGCGAATAAGCAACATTTCCCAAAAGGTTTAACTTCTTCTTTAATCTCTACTGTATTGAGTTGTTTAAAGAGGTGGTATTATGCTCATTTTCAGGTTCAAAATCCTATTTAGGGGTTGTACCAGAACAGGTTTAAATGGTTTAAAAAACACCATATTTTTTGTTCATACTGCACATTGCTGCAGCTCCTCTTTTCATGCTGTGTGTGAAGGCTTCGTTTTAGCTATGGAGTGATACATTTTGTCTCTAAATTATCTTTGTTGGGAGTTGCACATGCGCAGTTCCTAGTTAAGGACTACTAGCCAATCAGAAGCAGAGAAGGGCGGGTCAATGAGAAGCCAGTAAACACGGCTTCATTTCAGCGGTACATGTTGCCGATCAGCTTGGTAACAAAGACTGGAGCAAGAGTTTCAGAGTGGTGAGTTATTAATCTGTAACAAATGTATCTTTCATCCATAACGTCATAACTGTAACAACTTTGTGTCCATGGACTGCCTGGTAGTGATGTGCGATACCACTTAATTCCTATCCGATATACCAATACCAAGTAATACCCAGGCTGCATAATGACAAGACTACTGTCATATTCTTTAATTATAATGAAAATCTACTCCTCAGAACTGCCGCTTCATAACATCATCATATTATTTTGACTTAATCTCAGATGTTTAGCGAAGTTTGCAGTGTTGCTAAAGTATTTCACTGTCTTTGCACACACATCACATACAGCAGTCATTATTACCTTCACAGCTGAAATACAGCCAGATGTGACGGCTTTTACAGTCAGCCATAGTCAGCATTCAATTGCGGGAAATGTAAAGGGCTGCAGCGGCTCACTCCAAAGAAGCTCCGTCACAGAGCCGTAGAGCAAGTATGACTTTGACAGGCGAAAGGAAAAGTAGTTCCTATCAACCGAGTAGCCTATAATTAGACCATCCTGGTAAAAGTAAGATACTTATGATAAAACACTCACACACTCCGAATTACTGAGTCGTCACAGGGATGAAAGGGAAATGGCTGGACTACAAATGAGCTGTTTTCAGGCAGTTCAGAGCAGAGCTTTCTGTGGGAGATGGAAACTCCCTTTGGGCTGGATTTTGAGCTTTTTCACTTTGCAAACCTATTACATGCACAAAAAAGGTATATAACAATAAAGGAGAGGGAAAAAGCCAAAAAGCATAATACCACCTCTTTAAATAAACAGTAATTAATTTAGCTTTAAGTAAATTACTGATGTGATTAAGTTATAGGCTATTTATTTCTGTCTTATGGAAAACCTTGGATGACATTTATGGAAGTTTACCACACTGTGTTTAATTTACACTTGCCAATAGCTGAGACTGGCAAAGACTACCAGATCAATCTACCAGAAGGCAGAGAGATTATATTTATTTCAAAGCAGCCTAAATTCATTGAAATATTACTTGTTTTTTTGGTATGTTTTGTACCTTGTCGTGGTGTTAAACAATGCTCACGGGAAAGAAAAGCTATGTGTTGACAAGCTGCATTTCTTCCATTATAGACAGCTATTGTTTAAATGACTATGCAGTTGTTGGATAACAATTAAAGGGAATGTAAGCCCTATAATATAATTAATAATGCTGTCTAATGAAGCACAAACAAATGTGTTGCCTATGTTAAAAACCAATGAATATTCTTTATTGATTCTACTGACCAACACATTTCCTGCTTTAAATGACAAAGTGTCTTGAGCTATTTTCAGCTAAATGAGCTAAATCCATAGGGATTTGTTGAGATAATGGATGAATACATGCAAACACAAAATACTAATAAGGGATGATTGTACTTCAGAGCACCATGAGATTTGAGGAGGGATTTTAGCAGATGGGACAATACCACCATGAAGTCTAGCTCCTTTATTTTTAATGAATTTTAATTTTATGTAAATTGGCCTATAAGACATTTGAAGATTATAGAGCTGGACGATATGGCCAAACATATTATCATGATAAAAAGTTTCATATATTTCAGTATCGATAATTATCACGATGAGTATCAAATCGTTATTTCTTTTGAGTTTAAAGACGGATTTTTGCTCCTGAATGAAAGTTGAAGAAACGGTTAATGGTTAATTTTGGTTTAAACTCTTGGTTTAAAAGCTTTTTTCGGTCCTTTTTCCTCAACAAAAACAACATCTTAATAAAACAAATTAAGTCCTAATTCGTATGATTCAAGTGAATAAAGTTCAACACTGATTGAATATTTATTGAACATTTGTTATATTGTTATTGAAAAAATTATATTGTGATAATTGTTATTGTTTTATTGTCCAGCCCTAGAAGATTATTTTTTAATACCTAGTAGAAGTATTACATAATTATGTTGCATACCACTGATTTTTAGCTATTTGCTACTTATGTGAAGATGAAACACTCTGCACTCTGTTGTTGGATTAAATAAAGTTGGATTGGATTGTCATTTTATACTGTAAAAAATGGATGTCCATTTATTTTATGCATTCCAGAAAGAAGCTGAGGCTTCTTATTTGTTTTGCATGCAATAAGCCAACAAATGTACTCAGTTTATAGTAAGTTTGGCACAGTATCACTGATTTAGAGGCGCACAAAATAACATACAATGAAACAACAATAGCTTACACATTCAGCAGCAAGAGCAAGCAAGAATACTGATTTAGTTTAAGTGACATACTGTAGGATAGTCCTAAATGGCTAAAAGGTTAATGGAACATTTTGATAAACATGCTTATATGGTGTCTTGCCGAGAAAGTCAGGTGACAATCCATGTAATCTATTCTAAATGTATTATTATTAATAATAGCCGCTTTATGGACACTGAATGTAAACTTAACTGTTTTTACGTGAAACCTCCCAAATTATCTAGGGATTGTAATATCTAATATATTTCCTTTTCTCAAGAAACTTTCGGTGCAAACTTTTGTTTGTACACATCAGGGTCTCAAAACCCTATAGTTATGACATACTTCACATCGCCATCATCCACTCCAATAAACATAATTGAACAAACAGTTCCTTCTTGCAGCAACATCCTCCACCAACTCTCAGTTCTCTAATTTGCAATACTTGTGTTCTCTAGTTTCTTAGCCGGTTCATGATAATATCTTTAACTTCCGTGAGATCAGCATACTATCAGCATTTGAGGATGACCATTCTGAGCAGACCAATTACAAATCTCTTTCTAAGAATCACTACATGGTTCTTCAAGATTAATAAAATAAAAATCTACTTGGAAGTATCCATGTTTGCATGCATATACATGTAGCTCCTTATACCACATGTGCCAAGTATTCAACAATTAACACCAGTCTCTTCATGCAGATGAGTCATTATAATTTTCTCATGGCCACACATAATCTTACGTTCACACATTATTTAAATCATGGCTATGACTTAATTTGATCCGAGTGATTTATTAGGTTTTAATATTTAACTAGATTAGAAATGAGAGTGATAATGTGAGACTCTCAACATCAGGATAACCTATATAAAAGTGCCATTGATTGAATATTTGCTAATACATTGTGAGGAGATCAAGTGTCCAATCAACTGCACAATGTCTGGATCAGGTGGGACTTACTATACTGCCTGTCAAGCACACTTATTCCCTTTACTTACTCCTTTCCTAACTGCAGACATATTAGTAACAACTAGCTTGAGCTGGAAAAAATATTTTTAAGTAATAGTTTATTTATCAAAGCTTAATAATGTTGAGCATCTAATATACATTCATGGAGCGCATTCAAACACTCACCAATACTGTGAGGGCAGATCTTTGGCCAGGGGCACTGGTTGGGCTGTCCAGGAGTTTGCGGGGCCTCCCAAAAGACACCAGGATCTCTGGCCCAGGTGGCCACACCACAGCGACTCAGACAGAAGCCTCCCTCTCTCAAACTGAGAAAATAATAAAAACATAAAGAAACAACCACCTTATGTATTGACCCTTATTTTGAGAGGTTTAATATTACAATGTCAGTCTGTCCGTCAGTTGGTGCAACACTTTGGTTCAGACTGATATATCTCAACAACTTCTGGATGAAACATTATCCAGACATTCATGGTCCTCAGAGGATGAATCCTACTGACTTTAGTGATCCCCTGACTTTCCCTCCAGCGCCACCAGCAGGTTGACATTTTTATCTTTTAGTAAATGTCTTCACAACTATTACATGGATTGCAATGAAATTTGGTGCAGATATCTTTGGTCCCCAAACCATCAATTTGTATTAACTTTGGTGATCCTAGTAGTAGCTCCACCAGCAGGTCAAAATTTTAACTTATCTTTTAAAATATCTCTACGTTTACAAGATGACTTGTCATGAAATTTGGTACACTCATTCATGTCCTATGACCTTCAAGTCCATATAAGTCATTTCCTCCAGCACCATCAGGTCAAACTTTGAATTTGCCTGATACTTTGGTTTATGAGTAAAGGAATTCCCATTGGCCTCAACTGTCTGTTGTGTTTCCAGCTAATGAGTGCAATTAAGTCCCGCCCACAGTAGAGGGAAAAACAATTAATTGCTCTCCACTGACTTTGTATTGTGTGAAGGTGCCTCTTTGTCTCTTCCGTCTGCGAGCAAACAATAGAAAAGGCTGCTCTGTGGACGGATGCATTACCAACAAGGGTAAAGAATCAAGTTTTTATAAGTTAAACCGAAAACCTTTAAGAAGACAAAAGTGGATACAGGCAGTAAGGCTGGAGGCATCAGCAGGAAGAATGGGAAATCTGTGGAATTCGAATCTGGACACTCAATATGCCTAAGTTTACGGCAAGTATTTTTTTTCAAACTACAGAGACTGAATCTAATTAAACTATGCAGGACTTGTTATTGAGATTTGTTAGGTTAAATGATGATCTTTAAGGTTAGATTAAATGATTCGATCAAATAGTTGTCAATATCAACACATTTTGACTTCTGGCCATTCAGTGGTTTCATTTCTCCAAGAAAAGCAAGGTAAGGAGAAGGGAAACTGATATAAGCAGACAATATTGAGTTTGTCAATATACCTTTTCCTCTCTAGTAGACGTAGGGTGCGAAAATAACTCTTTTGACATGCAGAAATATAATGTTCTTAGCAAGGTTCAGGCATTTGGTTATAATTTCAGACCATTGTTTTCCCCTCGGATGGGCATTATTAAGTGTCTGACAACATTACAGAAGGGCTGCCTACAGGGACAGAGTAGGATATGAAAGAGAGTAAGATCTTTTTTGTTTAACCAGAAACAGCTGCCATATTGCTCTTGTCAAAGCCACCAGACTCCCTTGACAATAACTTGTAATTACAATCTGAGCCTGTCAGTAGCAAAAACAAACACTTTACTGGACGTACTTTGACACGGGCGCAATTGCCCCCAAGGATTACGTAGCAGTTCAGTCTCGCTGCTGCCGGCTGCATTGCTCTCGCTCAATAGTGGACCAATTTCAAATCATTTTATCACAATTAGTCACAAAGACAAAAAAGTATGTGAAACTAGGGTCCAGGTTTAAAAATACATCATCA